AGCTGGCCACTGTGATTGGTGGTGTCCAATAAAGCAGTGATTAATCGGGATCCCCCCTTTAAAGCTTTTGTATACAAATCGATGTAAAAATGTATGTTTAATATAATAAAAATATAGAAATGAGTTAAACCGCAAAATTCTCAATACATTTTTTTATGATATTTGATAAAATATAGGGTGCATCCAGAAGCACGACCGTTCACTGAGCGCTCAGTGAGCTCTTATACCTGTTTGATCTATACTTTATCAATTGAGATCTCACTTTTATATTCCGATTAGATTAGTGTACAACGGCTTTAATGTGCACTGAGTGCATACCAGTTCTGCTAATGAAAAACACTATAAGAAAATATTATATTTCGTATAAAAGAGCATATACAAAGCAAAAATTACCTCATATTCTCATCTCATTTCCTCTTTGTAGGTTGTTGTTGGGCCAAAGACAGAAATTTTAGATATCGTTCCTGAATGGCCAGGAAGTGAACACGATAGCCGAATTTTCCAAAATTCTCGCATATATATGCGATATAGACAAGGTGAATTGGATGGAATGCTGGTTGGAGACGCTGGATATCCCATATTACCTTTTTTACTTACACCGATTGGTAATCCTACAACGGATGAAGAAATAAGGTTTGATACATGTATTTTATAAATACAATTAAAAAAATTCTTTTATACATATAATTATATTACTGACACACACGCACGCACACGCTCGCTCACGTATGTGTGTATGTGTCATTAATAAACATGATACAACTATTTTATATGTATTTTTTTGTTTTAGTTATAATGCGATTCACGGAAGAACAAGAAGAATTGTCGAAAGGACATTTGGTATATGGAAACGGAGATTTCCTTGTTTGTCAAAAGGGCTTACGACAAAATTATTAACTTCTACATCAATTGTAGTGGCATGTGCTGTTCTCCATAATATCTCATTGATTTTAAATGATCAGTTAGAAGATGAAGAAATAGAAAATTTAGATAATGAAGTTCCGGTGGTCGAGCCTCATTATCAACCTGGTGAAGGTTTTCTCATACGAAATGCTCTCATTGAACGACTGTTCCGATAAAATTTAATTCCATATTCATTAATATTACAATATATATTATAAGCGTAGTTGATACATTAGTTATAAGAATAGTTTTATATACAGTAGTTGATATATTAGTTATAAGAATAGTTTTATATTATACAGATATTCCTCTATTTACGACTACTTTGACTTATAAATTTTCGAACTTACAAACAGTATGCTACTATTATAATCCAAAATAAGTTAGTAGATTATATCGAAATTGATTAATCATTTGTTAGGATAAGAGGAAGAATGTAATAAAAATTATTACACATAATTGACAGAAACATTGATTTATTACTTTAATCTTACTTTATATTATCTTACTTTTAAATATAACATTTTGAACATAACATTATCATAAATATGTTATTACAAACAATTTTGGCAACGTAATTATCTTACTTTTAAACATAACATCTTTTGTCATAAATGTCTTTGATCACAAACAGCTTTGGCGATGTAATTATCCTAGTTTTAAACATAACATCTTTCGTCACATATTTTTTTCGCAACTTATTTTTATAAATATTTTCATTTGAAAACTCCTTAAGATCTCTCCTTAAGATCACACACCTATTTGGAATGTATATTATTGCATACATATAAACTTAATTACATAATTGTAGTACGTTTAAATTATAATAATTAAACTCAAACAAATATATATGTAAAGAATACACAACATAAAATAATCTAGAAGGTTGTAGAAAAATTATCATCAACACAATAATATTCATGTAATATGTCCCAGGTAGCAAATTAATTTCTTAAATGACATTTAAGTGCGATATTTTGACGCCAACATAAAGAAAAGTAACATCAACTTGCTATCTTTAAATAATAGGAATAAATAACTTTTTAAAATGGTATTTTATATGTGTATACATATATTTTTTTTCAATATTTCAAACTCTAAATGTATCAATATTTTCTTTATTTTTTATTGATTCAATTGCTCTGAGTTGTGCTTGTTTTATTTCTATTTCCAAAGTTTGCATCCGTTTTAAGTGTTGCAATTCTCAATTATGAATTTCATTTAAATGATTTGTTTTCATGTTACTCATACTTTCTTCATGCTTTTGTTTAGTATGTGCTAGTTGTTGATCTTGTTCCATTACTCGTTTTATGCGTTCCATACGTAATGTTTCTTCTGTGTTTGACAATTTAATTTCTGTTGTGTTTTTCGTTTTAAAGAACGTGTTTGTTTTAATTTTTCATTATCCAATACATCAGATAGTTGTTCTTTTTGCATATTTGTTTGTTGTTTTTCTCCACTATACAAAGTTGTTAATGTATCATCCTTCTTCGTAGAACTAAATAAATCTGTAAAGCAAACACACAACATACACTTATA